TCATTATCGGAAAAGAATAAGTTAGTGTCATCAGCAAGCATAATACTTATTAAATTCGAGTTTTTTTTAGGTCGTTTATATTAATCAAGAACAACAGTAGTCTTTAAATGGAACCTTGTGGAACTCTATAAGAAATATTTAGAAACTTATTTGGATGATCATTATTGCTGAAAATAAATTGTTTACAGTTAAATAGATAACTTTTGAACCATTTTATAACTTTGCAATTTATTCTATAATATTTTAGCTTGTGTGAAAAAACTTCATAATCGACAGTATTGAATGCTTTCAAAAGGTCGATGAAAACACCTAATGTATATTTTGACTTTTCAAAAGAATTACAGATTTCACTTAGAAATAATTAAGAGAAATAATCACAAACAAAAAAATAAGATTCTTGTGGAACTCCGCAGGAAATATTTTCTAATTTAGTGCAGGTTTTATCATTAGATGCACATTGTTTGCAATTTTCAAGATAGGAACAAATCCATTAAAAATAGTTATTTTTAACTCCATAACTTTTAAGTTTGTACAGAAGAATATCATGGCCCACAGTATGAAAGGCTTTTGAGACTACCACTACATCACTCTTAGGACATTAGCCTTCGATGTGATAACCAAGGATATCACCCAGGTTATCACATTGGAGGGTGGATAAAAATTTTTGATAGGCGTAAATAATTTTTTTAAATAGGCACTTTTATTTTTGTTGTTTTTCTCACTTGAGTTTGCTGCTAAACTACGTCCTTTATCGAGAGGCAAAAAAATTTTTTAATTGGAATTATTTGGGTACATTATTATACTACTCGTGATACATTTATAAAGTATAAATAATATAGTATACATAAAGTATGCATAAAGAGTATACATAAAGTATATATAAATCAGGATTTAATATTTGCACAACGTGAAAGCAGAAAATTGCTTCTAAAATAAAGAGATCGTTTAAATAATGCTGATAATACCCAGCCCTTTCGGTATATTGTCAAAAATGAGTCAATTGTCAAAGTTAAGAAAAGTGAAAAAACTAAAAATTAATTCATTATCTAGTGTAAATAAAAACAAATCTGACATTATTTTTCCATTCAATAAAAAGTCTAACTATCTTAAGTTTTGGTATACAAATTCTACGTCTTTAGTAAATAAAATAACAGAGTTTGAAACAAAAATTATGATCGACTCACCAGATATCATACTTACTTCTAAAACATGGTTCAAAAATGACTTAATTATAAATATTAGCAACTACAACTTCTTTTACAATAATAGAACAAACAAACAAGGTGGAGGTGTTGCAATTTTTACAAAGTATGATATAATTGCTTATGAAGTATCAGTTTCACCTTTATATAAAGAAGTTGAACAAATATGGTGTAGCATTGTACTTCATAAAACAAAAATATTAGCTGGATGTATATACAGACCACCAAACAGTACTGACCTAATAAATAATGCAATTAATGAATTAATAAAAACTGCTAAAAAGGAAGTAATGAATGGAAAATACTCAAATGTAATCATTGTTGGTGATTTTAATTACCCAAATATTATTTGGAATGAAGACGGAATTATCGAGCTAAAACAAAACTGCCAAACAAGCAGAGCATTTATTAATAACTTGCAAAACAATTATTTACATCAAGTAGTTAACAAGCCAACTTTTCGAATGGCTGTTGATAAACCAGCAAATATATTAGATTTAATAATATGCGACGATCTACATTTAATAATTAACATTGAATATGATGCTCCACTTGGTCAAATTACTAAAAGCCATTACATATTAAAACGGGAAATTAACATACTCAATTCATATGAGAAAAAATTCAACAATAAGAGATTTAATTTTCGAAACGGAAAGTACAAAGAAATGAATCTCATGTTTTATAAAGTAAATTGGGTTGAAATCTTTGACAAAATGAATACAAATCAATGTTATGAATACTTTTTAAAAATTTATGAAAAAGCTTGCAAACAATATATTCCTCGCCACTTCAAACCCACTAGTTCTATCAAAAATCCATGCATTAATAAAAAAATCAAGAATCTAGTTAGAAAAAAACGTAGTTTATGGTGCAGAGTTCGTGCTACAAACTTCAAGAACACAAACTTAAATAATGAATACAAACTTTTCAACTAAACAATTAAAAAACAAATTAAAAAATTTACTTTTGATTATGAAATAAACTTAGCAAAAGATGTAAAACATAATCCAAAACGCTTCTATGCATATGCACAAAAAAAAAACCAGACACATACAAAATTGCTAGCACTTAAAACTAGTGACAACAAAATAATAACTGATAAAAAAGTAATTGCTAATCTACTAAATTGTAGTTTCCAATCAGTATTTGTCAAAGAAAATCAAGATTTACCATATTTCAGCAATGAAACTAGTCATTTATTTGAATGTGACTGGGACCAAGAACTAAAAAAAGATATTATATTTAATTATTTATTAGAACTTAATTAAAACAAGTCACTTGGTTGTGATAACATCAGTCCCTATGTGCTAAAGCATTGTGCAGAAGGATTATCCAAACCTTTGTCTTTAATATTCAAGAAATCGATACATTCTGGAGAGCTGCCAGAATTATGGAAAGCTGCAAACATTACACCACTTTTTAAAAAAGGAGACAAGAAAGATCCACTCAACTACAGACCTATCTCCTTAACATCGATACCAAGTAAGATAATAGAGAAAATAATTAGAAAAAAACTGATAATTTATATAACAGGAAACAATCTGTTAACGTCTCAACAACATGGACTTATACAAAATAAAGGGTGCCTAACAAACCTATTAGAAACTTTCGATTTTATTACAACTGAAATTGAAAATGGTTATCCAGTTGATATATTGTTCCTAGATTTTGCAAAGGCGTTCGATAAGGTGCCCCACTATCAACTTATACATAAAATTTCTAACTGTGGAATTAAAGGCAATATTTTAAATTGGATTGATTCTTTTTTAAAAAACAGAAAACAAAGAGTGGTAATGGGTGAAGTTGTATCAGGTTGGTGCGAGGTTTATAGTAGTGTACCACAGGGCTCTGTATTAGGTCCTCTTCTTTTTCTGTTATATATCAATGATCTTCCCCTATGTATCTCTTCAATCACAAAATTATACGCTGATGATACTAAAATCATATCTGTTATAAAAGAACATAATGATCTAACTAATATGCAAAATGACATTGATTTGTTAACTGAATGGTCAAATGTATGGTTAATGGACTTTAACATAAATAAATGCAGTGTTATGCACATTGGAAGAAAAAATATTAACTTTAACTACACTATAAAGCACGACAATCAAAGTTTTCTTCTAAAAACAACAACAAAAGAACTAGACTTGTGTGTAATAGTTTCATCCAATATGAAATGGAATCATCAGGTTTAAGTAGCTACAAGTAAAGCACGAAGAATCTTATGTTTTATAAGAAAAAGCTTTACTTATCTTAACACTAAAATGGTAAGGCAACTATACACATCGTTGGTTAGACCACACTTGGAATTCGCAGCTCCAGTGTGGAGTCCAAGTAATAAAAACAATATCAATGACCTAGAAAAAATTCAAAGACGAGCAACAAAGCTAGCCCCTGAATTAAAACATCTAAGTTATACCGAAAGATTGACAAAGTTGGGCCTCACAACTCTGGAAACAAGACGTATAAGAGGAGACCTCATTGCTTTCTTTAAATTAACAACTGGGATTGATAAGATATTATGGTATAAAGAGCCTAATAAAGCTTCTTCCCAGAGACTTCGAGGTCATCCAATGAAATTTGAAAGAGAATTTGCAAAAACAACACCAAGACATAATTTTTTTACGAACAGAGTGATACCTCATTGGAATGCTTTACCTGAAAAAGTGGTTTCTGCAATGACAGTAAATTCTTTTAAAGCGAGACTAAATAAACATTTGTTAACGGCTGTTAAAAGTATAAATTTTAAACTTTATACTCCACGACAATCGTCGTTACAGCAGTTTGTATTACTATTACTATTTCAGTGGCGTCGTTATTATAATAACAATACAACAAATTTCAATTAGAGAAAGACAATCTTAAGATATAAAGAAAAATAGATTCTGTAACGGAGACCTTAAAGATTTGCTTTGCAAAAAAGTTGTTTCAATGCAAGATTTCCTTTCAGCTATTATTGTTTCAGCTATAAAGCAACCAGTTGAGCGAAAAGAGCCATCAACTTCACAAACTTTAAAGAAGAAATCAAACTTATATAAATGAGTACAAGAAAAACCAATGCCTTCTCCTAGCCTACGAAAACCAATACCTCCTCGTTGACTACAAAAACCAATACCTCCACTTAGACCACAAAAACCAATACTATCTCCTAGACCTATTTCCCACTTAGACTTCCTAAAAATGTTGAGTTTTTGATTCGCAAGCTAAGTAAAGAAGCTATTTACAACTTTTTTGTAAAGTTAGATCTAATTTAGATGATGAATATGAGAATGAAGGCGGTTTACCATACTTTGAAATTCACACTCGCTAATTATAAACCTCAAATACCCGCTCGCTATTTATAAACTTCAAATACTGCGAAGCCATAAAACTTGATTCAGACACACTTATATTTCTGAATATCCAAATTGAATAACTGAATATTGTTCCAAATTCGTTGATAGTATCGAAATGTACTTCAAGTCAGATTATATTTAAACTGGTAGTTTACTTATGTTTACACAACAAAACATACTGACTTATCTTAACTGTATTTTAAAATGTAAGATATTTCTAGTCCTACATATAAGTCCAACATGCTTATAAATAAAATGCACAATTTTTAAATAATTCATAAATCTTTATTGGAACCAAACAAAATACTTTTGTTCACGTTTCCTTTTTTTATCTACAATTTTAAATTTATAAAATTAGTATTTTGTAAAATGTTTTTTGTAAAATTTTAGGTGATTAAAAAAAACTATTTAAATAATCATGTTTACTTTCTTTAGATAATAAATAAAAATAAAAAAGTTGCTATAAACTATATTTACTTTATAATTTCAAAAAAGTATCATATTTTAAAAAACTTGCTCTAATAATCAATGGATTTTCTTCGGCATCTATTTTCCTCTTGTTAAAACGTTCTGGAATACGTGTACCAAGGAGAAATAAAAAAAACGATGTTAAACCAATAAGTAGAAATGCAAAATATTCGTTAAACGGGAATCTTAGGCTTTTTTTCCCCCTTAAAGCATTCTCTACATTTTTCAATGACCAGGAATAAGCAATGCCAAATATAGTCGGTCCAATTGCTCTAAAAATAAAATAGTATATGTATCTGTATGTATGTGTATATATATATATATATATATATATATATATATATATATATATATATATATATATATATATATATATATATATATATATATTTTAAATCATATTCCTGTTATACGATATATATGTTTAATAAGTGTGATTTTAAAGGCTGCGTATAAACTTTTTGCTTTAAATATTTTTTGATATTATCATATATTTACAATATTTTGCTGACCTATAGTGGTCAGCATCATCAGGTGGAATAAAAAACGTTACAAAAATTGTTACAAAACTACATAAATCAAACCGTCAAAAAAAAAGACAATACAGACATAAAATTAGAATAGCTTTTATTAAAAAACTAAATCAGGCGTCAGTTAAAATTTTGATCAAAATGGTCTCCAAGTTCGTTTGTTTTTATTCATTATATTTTCAAATTTTTATTCATTATACCTTCAAAAAAGAATAGAAAATATATATGTATGTGTGTATGTATATATATAAATATATAAATAAATATACACACACATATAAAATATATGTGTGTATGTGTATATTTATTTATATATTATATACATATATACTATGTATATATATTATGTATATATATATATATATATATATATATATATATATATATATATATATATATATATATATATATATATATATATATATTTTTTTTTTTTTTTTTTTTTTATTAGTGCTGTAAAGATTAACAAATCGATAATCAGTAAAAAAATTGACTTTTATAACTTCTTTATTTAAATATACATTTTCCAACAGCATAAAACATTTTTAAACATTAAATATAAAACCAATAATGTCCAACTAATATTAAATATTGTTTCTTGTTCCCATAAAAAAATCATTTTAAAATGTTCAAATAGTTGTTATAAATAGGGAATCAATTGCAACATACTGCTTTCTAAGCCGGCTGTAGATTATTTACCTGCATAATAAGCTTAATAAATTTCTTATTGAGATTCATTAGAAAATTCAAGCAAAATAATAAATAAAAAACAAACAAAAAACACACATACCAAAAACATAAAATCAATCAGTAAGTGTTTCTTTAGTATTTAGTAAGTGTTTCTTTAGCGTTTAAGGTAGTACAAACAAATCTAAACACGTATGTCTCCCCAAGCAACAGAATCATGCAGCAAGAGTTATTTATTTTTAAAATCACTTCAAAAATGCTAAACCTCTTTTGTATATATATTGTTTTAACATAAACTTTTCTTTTATTTTCAACAAGACTGCAAACAACCACTATTTGAGTTGGAAGTTACTGGAAAAAAAAGGACAAAGTTTATAAAGCAATATAATGATAAACAGATGAAGTAAAAGATTGCAAATTATATGAATCAGGAAAACAAGCAAATTCCAAAGAACTAATGGTAGAGGAAAAACTACACAAAGTAAAAGGATTTAATTTTTTAGAACAGCACCCATTATTGTATTTATAGAAAAGAAAAAGAGTAGCAACATTACAAGGATGTGACAATGGTTGAAGGTTAGCTGCAAGACAAAAATTGTAATTAAATTAATTTGTCTGAGAAAAAGAAGGACTTGAAATTTGAAGTTCTTTGAAATTTTTCTATATTTTTGTCTAAAAATGAAATGACAGCTTTCCAAAAGTTGTGCATTTTTACATTAGAAAAAAAAAAAGAATCGAAAGGTCTTGCTCTTAAAATCTTACATAATGAACCCTTATGTTTTTATTTCTTTATTTTGAAATATATTGACCGTATTTATGCTAACTCATCAGCACTTTTTATTTCAATAAAAAATTTTTGCCAAGGTCTTGTTTACTTTTAGTTAATCAAGAATTTTGCAGCAGTGACAGTGAAATTAGAATTTAAAAGAAAAAGATTTTAAAGAGTAAATGCAAAAATGCCAAAAATTAATAAAAATCAAGGTCTTTGTTAAAAAAACTGTTTTTGTGTTATGCATGAAGATATGTTCTGATGAAGCCACAACTTTGATAACCGGATCAGAACTGGTTATCAAACTGATCTGGAACTTTTAGATGAATGCATACCTTCTGAAATTTGCTGTTTTTGTCGAGTTTTGCTACTAAAAAGAGCTCAAAGTGCATCAGTTCAACTCCTAGCACTGTTTGTTTTCTCTTCCATTCAGCCAAAACCCAGCAAACGTGGCATAGACTGCTGTTGTGTCATCTGTCAAATTAGTCATTCAAAACTGAATGTAAGAACTTTAATTGCAGTCAAAAGTGATGAAAGACCAGGACCATCCTGAAGAGATCTTAAAGGAAGAAGGGAGTAAGGCACCTGTTTTTTGCAGAGTAATGCCTTTGAAAATTTTTTTTTGTCAACTAAGATCTATAAAAAAAAGCAGTCCATTATAGTATTTATAGTAAAGAGGAAGAGAAGAAACATTACAATGATGTGATTATATTCGGAGGTTGATATAATGGTATGATCTCATCTAATGATGTAATATGATGTAATAATATCATCTCATCTAATGATGTAATCATAAAAAGGCAACTTTATTAGAAGGGGATTTTTAAAAACCTTCTTTTATATATCTTTTATTTTCTTACATTCTTTTTGAAATCTCTGATGACATCACTCATCACACATAAATATATATATATATATATATATATATATATATATATATATATATATATATATATATATATATATATTATATTATTCAAAATATACATTGTTATTGTATTAAAAGCTATATTTTTCTTAATTTTAAGTATTGTGGCCCATTAAAAATTACATCTATGGCATTGTGTTAAAAAATCTAAAACAAAAATATTGTTAATTAGTTTATAGTGCATTGGTGAATTTATGATTAAATAATTTATTTATAATTTATCTATTTTAATATATTCATATATGATAATTTATTTATTTTAATATGATTTTATAATCATGCAACATCATATACAATTGATATCAAAAATAAACACGCAGCATCATATCACAATTGATATCAAAAATAATCACACAGCATCATATCACAATTTATATCAGAAATAATCACGCAGAATCATATCACAATTTATATCAAAAATAATCACACAGCATCATATCACAATTGATATCAAAAATAATCACACAGCATCATATCACAATTTATATCAAAAATAATCACACAGCATCATATCACAACTGATATCAAAAATAATCACACACCATTATATCACAATTTATATCAAAAATAATCACACAGCATGATATCACAATTTATATCAAAAATAATCACGCAGCATCATATCACAATTGGTATCAAAAATAATCACCCAGCATCATATAAAACTGATATCAAAAATAATCACAAAGCATCATATACAACTGATATGAAAGCTTTAGTTTAAGATTATACATTTCTATTCATTTCTATTTTATAAAACATAAAAATGTGGTTATTAAAAGCTTAAGTTGACATTTGACATTTGTCCTGAGAATACTTTTATTTAAAAAAAGCATAACAAGATTTCTTTTAAATTTAATAAATTTGAACTTAATGCTATTTAAAATTATTTAAAATATAGAAGTAAATAACCTAATACCTCCCTATAGCAGTTACTGACATAGCTAAACCATTTGCTGTACCAAGTAATAAAGAACTAACTGAATTATTCAATAACATGTTAATTGCTAAAAATCCAGAAGACATCATTGATCGTATAAGAATCTGATGAATACACATTGTGATCCAAAACCCTAACCTGTAAATAGGAAAAACCACAAAAATTTGAAGAACTACAAAATATTCACTATAGTGATTAAAATTTCATTGATTTTTAAACTTCCAACACGAAATTTTCAATCAGATATGAAAAGCCAGATATAATATAAATCAATATTAAATTATATTAAACATAAACATTATATTAAACACTAACTGGCTTAAAAGATTAGAACTATGTGTTTAGAAACATATAAGCAAGGGGTGACCAATCTATCAATATAAAATCCACAAGAGATTCAAAACTATTAATTGCATAAACCCTTTAAATACCAACTAGTTGTATTTAAGAAATCAGCATTCCATCACAAAGCAGCTCAAAAATGTGTTTACCAAAATACACTTTTTTTTACCAACAGAATTGTAAACAATTGAAATAAACTAAGTTCACAAACAGTAAATCAAGAAACAATAAATAAATTTAAAAACAAGATAGACAATGATTATTTTAGAATCAATCAATTTGAAGGCTATTATAACACAATTTAATACTACTCATCTTAAATTGAGCAGAAACTTTTAAGTTATTACTAACTATTTTTAAAAATTACAAACTTATTGAACTATTTTTTTTCATTTTTACATATATTAATCAGATTATATAATATATAATACATATAATTATATACATATAAATCTTAGAAATAGATAAATATCAGAGATATTTCAAAAGTTAAGAAGTCAGCAGTAAGTGCAAATTTAAAATCACACTATAAAAGAAGGATTGCCCTACTATATTCTTACAGGAAATTTTCATGTGGGCTATGTGGGAGAAAAATATGTAAAATTTATTTTATATGAATGCAGATGCATAACCACATATCAGTTAAAAAATTTAAAGAGTAATATATTGTAACAAAAATGTCTATATCTAGCATTTTCTTTAACGCCTTTATTTAAAATATTTATAATGCCTTCAAAGATTACCTAAAAAAACTTTTATATGAAATCCAAGTGTAAATTAGAATAGAAAAAAAAAATAAAAGTTTCTTTATATCATTTATTTATATCTAAATAATTATATCATATTATTTCCTTATATTTTTTATGGCCATTTAAAAATATTTTTCCTACACTTTTTATACAAACACAATGTATTAAAATGTTATTTATTTTTTTTTTTTTTATCAAAACTTTGATATTTTCAAGTTTTAGCAAAAATTTATGCTGAATAAAAACTTTCAAAAAAATTATTACAAAATCCGCTTTAACAGAATTACAAAAATGATGTAAAACTAACAAATTTGTAAATATATGATATTAAACTTTAAAATCTTACATGGATTGTTGAATTTATTGTTAGTGTTTATATTCCAAACAGGTTTAACATGAAAGTAAAATCTTGTTGGGTTGAGGGATTTGTCTTTTTGGGATGGGATTGTCAATTGGGATGAGTCACGTTTTAGACTAATTAATTAGAACTAACAATTAATTAGCTTAATTAGAACTCCTCAGAAGTCAGAGGAAACCTTGATATTGTAATGCCCACAATTAAAAGATGAGCTTGGTATGTGCATTCAGAAGCTGTTTTACAAGCTATGATATGCAGTGAAAGTTTTTGTGAAAAATATCATGAGCAAACTAATACTGGTGTTTATAGCCATAGATATTGAAAAACACCTGATATTAGCATTGATACTAAAAATCTTTTTAGTTTGATAGACTTGAGCAACAATACAACAGAACCACCTTTGACATGCAATTTTACATCTTCCGGAATTAAAGATTTAATTATAAAATCCCATGGTTGTTCTCCAATGGAATTCACATACACAATCAGTTTAGAGATGTGTACAGCTAGTCACAGAAGCTGCAGGACATGTCCACATATCAGAAAGAAGAGCAGCTTACATAAGAGCCCAATTCATTAGCAGAAAGTTGATGTCTGCTAATAGGAGCAAGAAAGACACGATGGAACTTCTATACTATACTTAAATTATAAAGTCATTTTTTAATTATTATTTTTTGTTGAGCTCAAAAAGTATAACATTCTGTTGTTTTAATATTAAACCTATATGTTTTATATTATTACATTTAATAAACACTTAATATTCAATAGATTACTTATTATTTAAATAAAATATAGTGTTTTTTTAACACTATCAGTTGTCATAACATAACAAATTGTACTTTTATAGACAAAAAAAAATGTGCCTAAAATGAATTTATTTTATGAGAAAACTTGTATTATAAGGATTACAAAAATTATAGAGCTTTCTAATGGTTCTAGGAAAAAATCCCCCTAAAATAATACTCCAAGAAAAAATCCCCCCGGAAAAAATCTCCCGGAGAAAAAATCCCCCCGGAAAAAATCCCCCAGAGAAAAACTCCCCATAGAAATTATCCCTCCCCCCCCCAAAAAAAATATTTTTTTACATAAAAATTATCAATATGCAGTTATGCTTATTTCTTTATTTAGTTTAAATATTTATATAAAATACTTCATTTTTCATCAAAATGTCAAGTTATGCGCTATTCCTCGAAGGTAGAAACCCTAACCCTGACGAACTGGTAAAATGTGAACTTTTTTGTTATTATTTAAAATAAAATAAAAGGAAATTAAGTAAAACTAGACGAAAACAATATGAAAATATATATATATTTTTTAATTATTTAATAGACTGCCTGTACAAACCAAACCCTCAGTCGATGTAGCAGCGCTCTGTTGTGAGTCAGGCTATTTGTCAGTCGATGTAGCAGCACTCTGTTGCAAGTCAGGCTATTTGTCAGTTGATGTAGCAGCGCTCCGTTGCAAGTCAGGCTATAAAATAGTCAATGTAGCAACACTCCGCGCACATTTTACAGTTAAAAAATAAAAATTTTATTTTAAATAAAACTTTAAAATAGAATATTAGAAATTGGAGAGTTTTTTTTATTATTATTTTTACCAACAACCAAGGAATAGCGCATAACTTAACATTTTGATGAAAAATTAAGTATTTTATAAAACTATTTAAAATAAATAAATATAACCATTTTATTGATAATTTTTATGTAAAAAAAAAAATTTTTTTAAGGGGATATTTTCCAGGGGGATTTTTTTGGAGGGATGTTTCCGGGGGGATTTTTTCCTGCTACCCTATCTAACAATAGAGTGCCAAACTGCCCCAAGTGTAAGAAGTCCTAAAATGCATTTTGTTACAAAATATAAGGGTTTTTTATAAGGATATTGTTACATATTTTACACATATAAGCAGAATTTTTCAGATTTTTTCTTTACATTGCAATAAATAGAATTAGGGGTGTCCTCGATAGCATTTTTTAATTATCTGGTCGGATATCGGATACCCAGATATTTAACAATTATCCGGCCGGATATGGATAATGTAAGATAAATATTACATTAAGACAAAAGTTACCGTAATAACCCTTCAAAATGGCGAGTTTTATTTGGAAACTTTTAAAAACTAGTGATAACTGTGATTCTATAGCTATTTGCATTCCATGTGGAAAGCAGATAAGCAGGGGGTATAGTAAATCTAGTCAGCAGTCAAAAATCAAAGAAATATAACTGGACTTTTATCAGTTGTTGTTAATAGAGCTACCAGCTTCACCACCATTATCTCCAATCATTTAACGTTATAATCCAAAAAAAAAAAAAAAAAAAAAAGAGAATGACTTTAACTCCTGCTTTTTTGAACTTGCAGAATATAAAGGAAATTTAGGTAAGAAAATCTCTTTCTGTTTGTTAAAAAAGTTTTTAATAATTTTAAAAACATTTTTGATAAACAGAAAAACTTTTTATTAATTTTTGTTTTTTTAATAACAGCTATATTCTGCATAATGTGGGTTTGCTAATTTAAGTATTATATACTGGTTATTAAATGAAAATATATAAATACATAAATCATCTTTAGTATTTAAATTCTTTTATACTACAGAACAAAATGGTGAAATAAATCCTGATCAAGTCTCCCTTGTAAAAGCTGCTCAAGAAGTTGATTTTTTCTTTAATCACTTGATGATAAAAAAAAAAAGATGTTTTTAATTATTGGAAACACGAAGAGAAGTTTCCATTTCTTAAATTATTAGCACCTCAAGCATCTATATTTTTGGAGCGATTGTTTTCCAAATATGGAAATATTTACAAGAAAAAGCAATCAAGGCTGTTATCTCAACGTGGAGAAATGTTACTACTTATTCATCATAATGGAAATAAATTTATAAATGAGTGATAAACTGATGTATTTGTTGTGTTTAATTTTAATAGTGAATGAATAATAAATTATTATTAATAATAATAACAATATTGAATAGAAACCATTAACATTAGATTATTTAAAAATATAACTTTTCTTGGTTTATTAAATCTTTAAATTTCTATATAACATTAACTTGAAACATCCGGTTTATCCAAAACCAGATAATGTTATTATTCGACCAGATAACGGATATCGATTAATACTGATATCCGGCCTGGATATCCAGCCGGATAGCTTATCCGGGACACCCCTAAATAGAATACTAAAAATAATTAGGACTCTAAGACTTTCTCTAAGTTATTCAAAATAGCTAACCATTTTTCTGTGGGTGTGCACCAAGTAGTTTGTAGAACAGCCATAAAAGTAAAAAAAATTAAAAAAAATGTAGCTACCACTAAAATTCAACAAAAAATAAAGTTATGTTTCTAATTTATATATAAAACCTAACATTTTTTTAATATAACTTTTTGAAATCAAATTTTTTTTAAATGACACATCCTAATATATATATATATATATATATATATATATATATATATATATATATATATATATATATATATATATATATATATATATATATATATATATATATATATATATATATATATATATATATATATATATATATATATATATATATATATATATATATATATATATATATATATATATATATATATATATATATATATATATATATATATAGATAGATAGATAGATAGATAGATAGATAGATAGATAGATAGATAGATAGATATATAGATAGATAGATAAG